TTTTATAAAAGCACTTTTATGAAAGTACTTTTACAAAAGCTCTTTTACAAAAGTACTTTTATAAAAGCATTTTTTTGAAAGTACTTTTATAAAAGCACTTTTATGAAAGTACTTTCACAAAACATCTATGCCAATTGGTAAACATTTGACTATTGGAGACCTAGGTTGGCAGTTTGTGAATACCGACACAATTTCTTTTTTTTTAAGAATGAAAATGAGCAACATATGACACTTGTCAGTCTGAAAAGAATTCATTTTTAAGAAAAAAGTGTTTGGTTCATAGCAATATTTTCTCATTCTGCCTATTTTCACCCATTCTTTTTCATTTTAGAATTTCATTTTGAATAAGAATTAGAAAGAATGAAAATTGAACCAAACATGAACTAATTGTTGTATTTTAAAGTTCAGGGATCAAAGTGACACTAGATCCAAAGTACAGGATACTAATATGAAATTTTCCCTTATTATTATTATTTGAGTGACAAAAGAGTAAAAGGCCATGCTTTCAAATTTCAATGATTAAAATATGATATAGGTGTACCAAAATACACTTGGGTGTAAATTTTAGAAATGTAGATCCCAACCTTCTAATGATTGTATGATGAAAAAATAAAACAAATAAAAAATAAAAACATAAGAGTGTATCGAAGATATCGAGCGCATCGATACCCAGGCATACCAATATTCTAATCCTTGTGAAATTCTACTAGCGCGGCAAACTAATTGGTTTAGATTCAATTCAAATCAGACCCGAATAAGCTGCATTCAGATACTGCTAAAGGCCATTCTTAAATATTAAAATTCTTTGGATTTAGATAAACTATTTTATTTAAGTTTTTTTATTTTATGAATTTATGTTAAGTTTATACATATTGACTAATACCCTAATCTTATCAGTCTTCAATTAATTATTTGGATATATTAACAAATCAAATTCAAATATATGTTTTATGGATATCAAATAGAATTTGGAACTCTTTATCAGATTGGATTGATCCAATCTATTTGCAGCTCTAATTCCTCCCCGGTAGAAGCTCTGTGGGGGACTGTATGGGGTTTTATGATACTAAAGGTAATTCAAGAGGAATTATTTCGGAATTAAGTTGTGCTTTGTGAAAATTTCATAGAGTCTATAAATCACTTTTTTTTGTCCATGTTCAATGTAGGGGTGCAAATGGATCAGATCATGATCTAGATCCAGGGTCCAAGTCTATTTTGTCGGATTCAGATAGCCCTTTATCGGATTTTTGAATTGATTTGGATTCAGATCACCCCTATTTAATTCGCCAAGATCCAATCCGATCCATATATATATATATATATATATATATGTGTGTGTGTGTGTGTGTGTGTGTGTATTTATAAATATATTTACTTATAATTTTCATAATTTGAATAAAATCAGACCGACTTCGAATACCCGACATCCTTAACAGATTCGGAATTCGAATCACCAATTATGAGATCTGATCAGATCTTGGATTCTACTATCAGATCGGATTCGGATAATACCCTGATCCAAATCCGATCCAATCCGTTTGCATCCTTAGTTCAATGTTGAAGGCATGTCTCTTTCATCACCATGAAGAATAAAGTTGTCAATGGATCGGGTCTAGTTCAGGACAGGATGGATCAAACCTTAACTGATTATTAATTAGCTCTATAAGATAGACCTAGAACTTCATTTTTTATAATACAACCTTTATAAAAATGATGGTAACAGTAAATATATGCTGTTAAAGCAAGTGTTTTTAACCAAAATTATCTCATATGTTGTCTATGAAATTTATCCTTTTAAACATAAAATTACAAAAATTACAAAAAAAAACAAGAAACCTCTATATTAACTATATAATCAGTTTGAGTCCTAATTGCTTTGGAACTGCAAAAACCAGCCTTGACCCAGATATTAATTGAAATACAAACCACACCACCAGAATTGACATAACCAGTTAGATAAATTCAGTTCCGTCCCGTAGACCCAACCCATTACATCTCCTGTGGGGAATATATGTGGATACCGATGGTTCTTCCTTTTCCTTGCTAACTTAAATTCTTCAATGTTTAGACAGGTTTACTTCTAATTCTTCATTTTCCTTGCTAACCTAAATTCTTCAATGTTCAGACAGGTTTACTTCTAAAGCAGATTAGGATGAGTTTTTAGCATTGCCGGGAGGCTTGCTTTTATTACATAAAGAAGTTAGACTCATTTATCTTTACAAATGTAGTTAAAACTTCAAATTGGAGCTTATAACTTACTAGTAACATCTTGTATAATAATGTTATTATTGATCTTGACCCTGTAGTTACTAGTTAGATCATGTTGACTCATACATTAACAGGCCTTGTTTGTAGGTCCACCAGGGGAGGAGCGGAAGTAAATTGTGGTAGGAGACATATTATTGAATAAAAAAGCTACTTATGGTTTGTTATCAGATTTCAACATGGCTTATCTCTTGCTACTACAGGCTGCCATTTTGGAGTAATGGAAGCTGAGCCGATGGTAAATTCGAAAAGTTGCATCATTTGTTGTGAATATAGGATGCCAATCTGCGATTTTTATTCTGACTATTATCCACTTTGGCTTTAAACTTGCATCCTGAATCTCCATAGCAACGACTGTATTTTTCTGATCTCATTTTATGTACTTGTAAAAATATTCCTCAGGTTCAATTCATCTTCATAAGTGCAAAGGTAATCGAGCTGCTCATAAAATGCCTGTATCTTTGATGGGAGTTTTGGAGATCAAGTTTGGTGAACTCTCCACCAACACGGTTATCTTAGATCTTGGACTACCATTCATCTTTCTCCTTTAGTTCAAATCAAATCAATTTCTGGTTATAAAAGCAATTCTCATAGATCTTTCTCTTATATTAACACTAAAAATATGCTGGATTCTTCAAAAAATAAAAAAGAAAAAGAAACATCCAAGATGCTAATGAATCAGCCGCTTTTCTCTTTCCGGTTCTTAATCTAAATTTCATTTTCATTATGACCTGTAAATGAGGCATTTGTGACTGTTACAGAAGGGAGTCTCAGAAAATCTTCTCAATCAATTACAGCTTGCAGGGGACAGTACAGACTAGAGAAACAGGAATAGAAAAAAGATTATGACTCAAGACTTTAGTTTATAAAATAACAAAAAGAAAGACTCCTAGAATTTAGCTGAAAATTTCTACGGTTAATAAGACAAGTAACATTAGTAAGGGTATTTGAATTCAAACTCTGTTGTAAGCAACTGACTTGCTAAACAGGCGGCGAATATACACCACCTGCAATCCACTTGCACAAAACAGCATAAGGTACTCTGCTAATGTATAGAAGATAACACGTCTCTGAGTGCTCTCGTTTGCTGCAATGAGAATATAAAATATTCCATGAATATCATCATAATGACAATAACAACAGCAACAATAAACATGTAACTCTTCAGTTCCTAGGATCCGTGCAATAGTTTTAGGATAGTTCTTTTCTATGATGCCTAGATATCGATACTGACAGCGATACGGATATGCTTATATCATGCTTTTTCTATCTAGTATTTGAAGACAAATTTCATTTTTCAATACTTATATTCTTGCCAAATTAATTAAACTTCTAACATAAACAGGTTTCTTACGGCATGATTGTCAAACCATACCATTATACTTTTTTTTTTGAGAAATCATCATTATACACAAGGTTCTAACCGGCGTACCGGCCTGTGTCGGTGCTTTTATTTTATGTTTTACTTTTTTTTTTCAAAATCGGTTCAGAGTATCCGGTTTAAGGCCCGGCTACCTTCTGAATCAGTGGCTGACCCGATACAACCCCTGTAGGGGCGTATCGGAAAGCCACCGGCACGATACATATCGGCCGATATGGGCCAATACATGTTGATACTTTGAACCTTGATTATACATGTTTCAAAAATATACTTATTATACACAACACTTCTGAAAAATGCACCCATCCGCTGCTGTACTGGCCTACTGGGTATCTGACGATGATATCTAAATGTAAAGTATTCAGGTATCAATATGATATATTCTTCTCACTGATGGAAAACATGAGGTAGGCAGTCTGCCAATTATAAACATTACACAGATGAAATTCACGTAAGGGGTTATAATCCAAACGTAATTGGTTTGGAACTGATGCAATACAAGCCAGAATTGACTGTGGAGGAATGAACATGACATTGGGGCTATTGTTGCCAATTAAAAAAATAATAATAGTATTGGAGCTACTGCATCCTTAAAATGGGTTATGGAAAAACTGAGAAGGATTTCTGAAAAGATACAAAATGAAGCTAACCATGACCTTTTTATGTGCATATATCAGCATGTGGGAAACTTAATGTGGAACACAGACTCGTATCGCCACCCTGCATGTGCACATGAATCAACAATCTATTGCTGGATTGGATTGGTGTATGTCTACATCTACTTAATGGCTTACTTTTGCTATTCTTTTCTTTTTTTTCACATTTTTTTCTTTTGATTGGAAATGGTAACTTCATTAAGCAAATTAAGAAATATCAGGTACAACTGTCATCCCCTGAAAAGGGTGCTAAACCCCAAAATCCTTTTTACAATTCTGCCCAGAATAAATTCTCCCTCATTATCCCCTGTTTAGCGAAAGTATCAGCTAGTCCATTAGCTGACCTTCTAGTCCACTTGAAAGAAGCTCCAATCTCCTTTGTTAGTTGGTGATTGCCCTTATGGCATGCCTATATATCCAAGCTCCCTAACAACCCAATTTCAACCAATCAATGAGCATCTTAGAGTTTCCCTCTATCTCCATTTGGCGCAACCCCATCTGTTTGGAAAATCTCACACCTTGAAGCAAAGCCATTACCTCTGCCATCAAAGAGTCCCATGCTCCTATAGGCCCCATATACATAGTGACAATTTTACCATCTCCACTTCTGAATACTCCCCCAACTCCTGGCAGTCCCGGGTTGCCTCTAGAGCTCCCATCAAAATTTAGCTTCATTCTGTGTTGTGTTGGTGGGGACCACAGTTCCTGCACTTTAGGCCTAAAAGGAAGATGTAGTAGCAATCTTTTTTCACGTTATTACCAATAATGGACAGCTTATATATATTTCCTTTCTCTACATCTCTACTATGGTCATGTAAATGCGCATAAATAGGTTTTTTCTCTTCTTTTCCCTATTACAAAATTAACATTTAAGAGAGATGTTTTTTCTTTTGGGCGCGAATGGTTGCAAGAAAAAAAAAATTCTATACTGTTTAATATCATCATGATACAAAAATCTATAACACTGTCAAATGTGTGTGTGTGTGAGAGAGATAGAGAGAGAGAGAGAGAGAGATTACTGTGGCGATGACGAGCATCACGTGCCTTCAGATACTTTTGCTCTGCCATAACAGACTCCAATGCTTCTCTCAGCTCAGCAATTTTAACATTTATGGGGTCCAAGTGTTCTGAAATAAAAATCCAAATAAAAAACCAATGGCATGAAAACATTATAAACATTGAGCTCAATAAAAATGGCAGTGAGAAATTAGCAAAAACTCCTGCAAGATCATCATCATTTGACAATGTACAATTAAACTAACCATCTTTAGCAAGGTTGTGCTCATTAGGGATATGACCGACATGTATGTAAAACGATACAGTCTCTGGAGTTGAATAAGGATTATGAAAACAGAATTTGTACATTCCACTTCGTGGAGCCTTGAACTCAAATTTGTCTCCTGATGTTCCCTTCAAAGTGTGCACTGTATTGCCTGCAGGAGATGTCACCTGTATGAAACCCAAGTTTATGATTAATTGCTAACCTGAACATAGTTGAAATATATGTACTGCAGCTATTGATGAATTGATAAGTTGCACTGAGTGGCAATGTGGCATGTGATAATGGAAAAGGAAAGGAAAACATGTGCTGACTTGCACACCAAATAGTGTGGCTTAAACTACAGTTTGAAGTTCGCTTCATGGGTTAAAAACCATGGATTAGAGGATAGAAGGTTTTGAAACACCCTTGACATCATTAAATATTGTAGGTTTCATGCCATTAGATGTTTTTCTACAGAAATAATGTTTTTACTTTTTACAGTATTGATCCAAAGCAACTTAATTCAATGATTAAAATAAAATAAGTTGAAAGCTGTCAACACCACATTCTATGGAACTCAGTTCCAATTAATACAAATAAAATGTAGATTTATGCAGTCAATCAATGTTGATCATTTAAATGATTTCCAAATTTTCCAAAGCCAGAAGAACTGAATCACGTAAACACTGATGACAATACACAAGGTAGGTTGTGTTTGGTACAGGTCAGCAGGTGCTAAAAGGTGAACTCATGGTGAAAACCCTTTTAACAACAATTGATTGTTTTGGAAAATCGCATTTTTCCAGTTGGCCTGCTAAGGATTGACAATTTCCTTCCTTAAGAGGCACATGCTGAAGACATGGAAGAACCAATCACCTCTTTCTCCTTGTAATTTCCTAGGCCTTCAGTGAGGCTACTCATTTTGGAGTTTGTTATGCCTTCTAAGAAATCTAGGTGCCAGGTACGAGTCAGCATTCAAGGAATTCATATATAGGGATGGGGGTATCTGGCATATACTGGAGAGTCTAATCTGGTGAGCCGAAAGCACCTGAATCCAGTGACACAGTACATACGTATTTATTTATTAAGCAATGTGATATTTATCTTTTATATTTTGAAGTCTGATGGGAATTGGTGGGATCTGCCTGCTGAAGGAGCCCTTCAAGGAAACTCAATCTCCTGAAGCAGAGATAGATAGATAGACAGAGAGGAGATTTGGAGGGAAAATTCTCAACTAAATATTCATTCTAGATCCCACTATTTATTACAAGGCAACTCACGTAAAACATTCAAGGTCTAAACTCTAAAGAAATCGGGAAAAAAAATGCAAGGTGTAACTACTTTGCTGATGTGGCATCCTTATGTAAAAATACTTAATTGGTGGGCCACATGTAATGTTGGGTCTGGTGCCTGGGCCCTGGCTACTTGAGTCTTGAATGGATCGGATCATATGGCCTTGGGCCTTTGGAGATTTATATGTGGGCTTCTGGGATATATCAGAATCACATCATACACCTACATCCGAATATCATCATCATCTAAGTCTTATCCAAAGTTCTCAATTATATGGGATTGGCTACATGAATCCTGTTTTACTATTCTGTTCTGTTTAATGCTATATCCATTATTAAATTACAAACACTTAAATCATTTATTACTACTAGAGGTGTCAATAGACCAGGTTTTGGTTCAATCCAATCTGATCTGATGTTAGTCCACTTATAAACAGTTTGGACCCCATTCGATCCAATTCTGACATAAACAGAATCCAAGTCAATTCATTTAAATGCAGATGGGTCCAAATGTATCCAATCCGATCCGAACTGATTGAAATAACAAAAATTACATAAAAAATGCTGAAAATATACAGAAAAATTACAGGAAAAATAAAACTAAATTTGCAGAAAAAAACTACAGGAAAAAAGCAAAAAGATATAAAAATGCGGAAAATTACAGGAAAATTGCAGAAAAAAGATAAATGAAAATAAAAAAGCAGAAAAATTTTACAGGAAAAATGAAGAAAAACTTACAGGAAATATATGCAGAAAATTACAGAAAAAATATGAATAAAATGCAGAAACAATACAGAAAATTACAGGAAAATGGCAAAAAAATTACAGGAAATCTACCTCAGTAGCACTATCAACTGGAGTTCCATCTATTGGAGTCTGTGCAGAAATAGAATTTCCAAAAAGCACTTGTTTTCCAATGCTCTTGGCTCTGACTCAATTCCTGGCTGAACAATTCAACCCCAAATTCACTTTCCGTCTTAATCCTCAAAAACCCAAAATCTGAGACCTTTGCTTGGTAATCCAAACTCAGCAGAACATTGCCAGCCTTTATATCACCATGAAAAACTGGAGGATCACACTCAGAAGCAAAAAGAAAAGCACTTGAGCAATGTCAAGTATAATCTCAAAATACCGATCCCAATTCAAGTTCGATGATGCAAGCCTTCACCAAATAGGGATTCCTGCAAGCTTCTATTGGGCATATACTCGTACACAAGAAACTTGTTTTTCTTCTCAACACAATGCCCCAAAAGCGAAACAACAAACAACACTCATAGCCCACCAAGAATCTGCAACTCATTCTGAAACTCTCTCTGCCTACAACAAAGATACATACATCAAGCTTCTTAACAGCAACTGACTTCCCATCACGGAAAAGACCCTGAAACACAGACCCAGGCCCACCTTTCTCGATCTCAATAGGGTTCCCCAGTTTTTTCCACCACAGATGAAGGCTTTCTCACCACCTTCAATTCTCCATCCATGAAATCATGCTGGTGAGTAATCACAGGAAACGAGAAAGAGGGATATGTCCAACCGAGAGAGAGGGGGGAAGAGACATGGGACACTCCTAGACTCAGATTGGACTTTGGAGTTTGTGGACATGTCCAATTCAAACTGCTAAAAAGTATTGGACCAAAACATTTGGACCTTTTCAACCCATACAATCCATTCTAACCAGATTGGATTCAGCTTGGATCCAACCCAAACCCAGTCCATTGATCCCTACTTACTACTTCGACCAATGTCCTCTTTGATCTGCCCCTATCCCTTCTCGCCCATTCAACTTTCAACAGATCACTTCATCTTACAAGTGTACGCATGTAATCAAACCATCTTTAGCCTAAACTATAAGATATACTCATAGGTTCCTTCAAATGACTTCATTTATGACCCTATCCTTTCTAGTTTTTCACTCATCCATCTCCACATATGCATTACTGCCACACTCATTTTTTTGGATATGTTGTTTCTTGATTGCCCAACACTCTACTCCATACAGCACAGTTGGCCTTGCAACTGTTTTATAGAATTTTCCTTTTAATCTATGTGGTATTCACCTATCACATAAGCCTCCGGATGCACCCCTCCATTTTGTCCATCCTACTCTAATTCGGGCTTAACCATTATAGCACTACTGAATGATAAAAATAAGATATATGCTTGGTTGTAGACATCCATTAAGTAGCATTGCATGGCTGACTTGAGTGTACTGTATACCTTGGGTACGGTCTAGGCAAATAAAGGTATGGAACTTCCTACATGTTGCTTAGGCATTGTCTTGACAGCTATGGTAAGAAGTTTAACACAACTTTGGTTTCTAAGTTCTAACTGCTTTTGAGTCTGAGGCTGTCTAGACAACAACCTTGACACCAAGATCAAAGGTGCAAATCCAGATATGGAACATTCAATCAACTTCAATCTGAACACCCAGATTCAGATTGATGGAAACAGAAATATCCTCATTATCCTGTAATCCACTGTAGCTCCAGTGGCTTGTGAAACAGGGAGCTTAGTTTGAATGGCCTTGTCAAGGTAGAGTGAATTACTAAAAATAATTGTCATGCTAGAGGCTCTGATTTGTAATAGAAGTTGGAAACAAAATGACATTTAAGCAAGTCAAATGCTAGAGGCCCAGAAATATGCAAAGGTAAAATTAAGGGGTTACAAACTTCTCTAACTTTGAAGAACATGTAAAGTGACGACAGTGATACTGCAATTTATTTTTTGTATAATAACCCTTCACCCTTCTTAAGTTGAAACCATGAACCAATGTAGACTAGCACAAAAGTACTTTGAAATACCGAAAGGGCAAAGCCTCATAATTTTTTTTTACTAGCAACCTAAGAAACACAAAAATTTCGGTATAATAATTCAAAGAACAGGAAATTGGAAGAGGAACCCTAGAAATTTTAACACAAGTTAGCAAGGAACACAAATTTCTCCCCACCCCCACCTTCCCCCAAGAGGAAAAAAAATCACAACTGAAAACCAAACACGAACCCCAGCGAATCAACCAATAAAATATGGACATCACAAGATCAGGGAAGCCAAAACGCTTACAGTTAAATCGATGCCAGGATGATCTGAGCTCCAGAAGATATCGTGATCCACAACAACAAAATTGCCAGAAACAGAGTCTCCTTCGTAAAGCACGTACTCGTAGACGCACTCCACGTCGTTTACAGTAATTGAAAGCGCGGAGAGATGGCGAAGAAAGCTAAAGAGAAACCCAAGAACCAGAAAGTTCTCCGCGGATCTGAATCTCCCCCTCTCCATCGATTTCACGTATTCCTCTAGCTAACGGCAACTCTTCTTACCTGAAGCTTCTTCGAGCTCTGAAACAATGAGAGAGAGAGAGAGAGAGGGGACTAACTATTTTCCTGCCTGATCTATTACAGAAGGTCCCCTGATAAGTAAATTGGAGGGCTCGAGGTGTTCGACGTTAAGTGGGAAAATTAAATAGAGAGGAAAGACAGGGTAAATTACAAGATGTTAAAAATCTGAGATGCTGTTCTCAGTCTCCTCTGGGCTCTGGAGTAAATTTTCACTGTCGCGCTGACTTTCAGTCTCCGCCTGATACGTTAGCTCCCTCCGCCCTTACCCAGTAACAGTCAGTAACTGGTGAATGAAAAAATTATAGGAGAATAACGCTTCAGCTCAGGGTCAGAATTTGTAGGCCCAAACTACTGTTGAATTGCCAGAGGAGACTGAGAATGAAAAAAATTGGTAAGTAGAGTGTTGATTATTAACATTTTGAATGTTTAGAATTCTGCGGTGAAAATCAGAAATCGTTGGATTTATCCGTATTTTTCGAAAAATATCTTATTAAAATATATATTTATCTTGCTTACGTCTAGAGTCTAGACCACCATTCGGAAAAATCTCATTAAAATATTATGATTATTATCTTAACTAAGTTCCTGATCTCATTTCATCATATTCATTATATTTTTTTCTATTTTGTGAAGACTTTCCACTTTCGTGCGTTCATCTCGACAATATTTGTTAGTAGAAATAAACATAAAAATTTATACGAAGTTTTCAAATTCTCTGTCCTTTTATTTAAGGCCTTGAGAAATGAATTTCTGTTAGGAGAACACTGTAAATAATAAAAGGTTTAGAAATATGGGGGGAGCTTAAGAAATTGGTGGAAAAAGACAAGGTACATTGACTCAATGACTTGTCCGAAGCCGGTGTCCAAAGTCGAGACAAGTAAGAGGGCGCCCCTGCTGTTCATCTATACCACGTGTCACAGAGCTGGATTTGGGTAGTTTTGAGGGCAGTATTTAAGGACCAAGAGAGAGAGAGAGAGGCCGGATGTGGAGGGGTTCGCCGCTGATGCAAGTTGCAGCATAGCAACGACAGTGATGAAACAGGGGTGAGAGGGGGAGAGAGAGAGAGAGAGGTCGGTGTTGTGTTGGCTTTGAAAGTTGAAACTAATATAGGTACAGGGTAGACCTCCGCTCAAATCTGCATTTGTATCTGTTTAAAGCTCCTCCGTAGCAACCCACCTCATCTCAGATCAAGGAACCTAGATCTGGACCTGGGCGGCGAAGACAGACCGAGGAAGATGAAGAAGAACTAGAGGAGTACTTTAAGACACTAGCTGTAAGGAAGATAAGCCTTGGCAATCTAAGAAAGGTGTTAAAAGTTTCATTTTGAAAATTTAAAGAAGAATGATGGGCAAAATAGTTTTTTTAATCTTTTCGTTAACGGACACTAACAATAAGGAAGAGTTAGTCAATTGTTAAAAACAATAGGGGTACTTTAAGACAATAATGAAACAATAAGGGTATAGTTAGTCAATTTCCTAAACCTTAGGGGTACTTTAAGAAATTTACCCAAATTATGGTTGTCTTGGATAACTGTTTTATTCATTGCTTGGAGTTGCAAGTAACGAATGCCCAATCATCGCAGAATTGGAATCCTCCCCCTCTATTGCGAATGAGAATTTCATTTCTAACTGATCTCAATTATTGTTCGATGAGATAATAGATCATTTCGATTCCAATTTCAGATATTCTAATTCCAATTCCAACTGCTAATCAAAAAGACCCATAAGGCCTTGTGCTAGCTACTAAGTTGTACATTAACCAATAAAAAAATCATCAAAATTCGCAGATGATTTGGTCTAACCAAACATGGTAATATATCAAATTTATGACAATATTTAGCATGGTTTTGAAAATCAGACCAAACCGGATGATTGGACCAGTTGATCCAAGAATTGATCATGGCTCTGGGTCCAATTTTGGACCCAAAAATTTCCAACCAAGCATTAGACAGGACGGTCTCACTGTTTGACCCAGGAACTAGCAGCCAAAATGGTTTCCTTTCTGATCCAATTTTTAAAACTATGATATTTAGGTATGTCTTGAGTTAACATTATTTTAGTTTTGGGCAAATTTCTTAAAGTACCCCCAAGTTTTAGGAAATTGACTAACTCTACTCCTACAGCTTACCTGTTATCTTAAAGTATCCCTAAGTTTTTGACAATTGACTAAATCCTTCTTACTATTAGTGTCCATTGAAAAATACTATTTTATCATCATTCTTCTTTAAATTTTCAAAATGAAACTTTTGATACCTTATTCCTTTGTGTTCCACTGCTGCTATTCCACTGCCTTCAACACCACCAGATCCGCCAGCACTGCCTCTTTCTTATCCCTTTTGTGTTCCACCACGTTTGTCCCGGATATCAATTCGAACAAAACTACCAAGAAAGCATCCAGATCGACGGTACTCTGTTAATTAGAAAGTCCATGGCTGGAAGTTCAGGCTAAGTTCATGATCATCAGCATGGGAGAAAATTTATCATCGTACCTTTGATTTATCAATAGAGATAAAAGAAGGGGAGAAATTACCAGGTTTAAAGAAAACCCACAACCTTCCCCTAAGATGTGGACAGAGTTATTTATTTTCTAATGGAGTGCTCAATGTTATAACCGGATTTGGGGGCACAGCTGGTGCTGCCATTGGTAAGGTTAGTTTTACAAGTTGAAGTTGGGCGGTTGATTATGCAGGCTGCAGCAACAAGCAATTTGAATGTCGTTTCACTTGAATTGGGTGAAAAATTACCTCTCATAATCTTTGATGATGCTTATTTCCATCTTATTCTGTCTCTTAGTGTGGAATTAAACTAGTTATCTTCCACGAATGCTTCACTATTAGCAGACATTCAAACTCTCTCCCTCTCTCTATAAAGTGAATCTATTAAGGAATCCCGATTGATAAATTTAGTAACATCAGAATATTAGAAAGAGGAAAAGATATTGGGGAGAAACAACTGGAATTATTTACTCTGTTTTCTACAGAATTATTGCTGTGTTGGTCTTAAGAAATATACTCAAATTGATGGATTCCTTTTTCCCATTTTTATTTCTTTTTGAATTACTGAATTGTAGGTCGAAAGGAGCATCGGCTTGGTTTACGGGGGAGGCAGCGTTGGTTTAATGGGTCCCGTCTCTCAAGCTGTTTATGACGGCGGTCACCACGTGATTGGGCTAAAATCTCTCTCTCTGTTGACACCACAGTTCATCTCGCATTACTCAACATTTTGCTTAACAAGAGATCTGTGTAGCGGGATCCCCTGTGTATGTTGACGAAACCCATCTTCCAGCCATCATCACCAACATCTTCTTAAGGTTCCCAGTCGTAAGTCGGTGCTTGTGCTAGTTTTCCCGGTTCTAGCAGGCTCTATTTGACTCTCTCTATTTCTCTGGGGTTTTTCTTGACCTCTTCGAGAGCTTTAATTCTTGAAAAACGAAAGAACAGAGCCACAAGGTGACAGAACAGCTACGCCGGTGGTGGCCATTAATAGAATGTTGTTGATGCCATTTATTCCCACCGAGTAGAGGCAGAGGAGCTGTTGCATCTGCGAAGAAGAATCCTGCCTGAAAATGGAGGAGTTGGAGCTGCAAGAGATGGAGACGAGGGCGGAGATGGCATGAACGGGGTGTTTGACGAAAGTCCCTGTTCCTTTTGGGCCAGTGGCAGCGACGAGGAAACACTGGCATCCTCTCCCACAAAGACGAAGAGCAACCTTGGAGGAGAGGTAAGGAAAAGCGATGCATCAGAAAGGGTATTTTAAAAAATTTTAGAAAATATATCAATCATATGATCTTACGCGTAACCGAGTGTGACAGAAAACGTAAGGGTGTTTTAAGAGAATATATAAACAGTAAAGATAGACTTAGCCAATTTTCTAAACCATACAAGTACTTTAAGAAATTTATCTTTTATTTTTTCTGAACAGTTTCCTTTAAATAGGGAAAGACTTATGGGGTGGAGATCTTCTGCTACATCTCTATTGTCATTCATGGGGATATGTTTTTGATGTACAACTCTAATTACCTGTTAGGACAGTGTTATGAGAATCTGAAGTCGGGCTTGTGCCATGTATATGTGTACATAAAAATAAAATGATAAAATAATTTGATTTAATTTAATGGCTTGGACGTGAGGCAAGTGTCTCCCTATCTATTTTCCCGTCTGTGAGTAGGAATGGCAACAGGGCAGGTTTGGGGCGGGGATTATATTCCCCATCCTCGACCCCGATTATGAAATTAACCCCCATCCCTATCCTTGATCCCTGTCGGGGATAAAATTTGTCCTCCATCCCCAATCCCCGACGGGGATGGGTTCCCTGCGGGGACTTGAATCCCCAAAATTTTTTTAGATAATAGTATTTATTTGAAAAAAAATTACTTAAAATAAATATAAATTTTGAATTATAAATAAAATTTTAAATATATTTTGATATATATAATATAAATAATATAATAATATATATTTAATATATATAATATATATATATATACATAATCAGGGGCGGGGACCTCAATCCCCATCCCCGACCCCAACCCCAATCAAAAATTCCTATTAATCCCTGTCCCCATCCTCGCTCCGCCAAAACAATCCTGATCCCCGATCCGATGGGATCGGGGAAGTCGAATCCCCATCAAAGATGGGGGAAATTGCCATCTCTATCTAGGAGTGTTTTTGTGATAAAAATGCTTATCAATAAATGCTCATGAATATTTAGTGAAAAGGCACTTAAATTAGTTGCTTGTTCTAATAAAGCAATTAAAAATAAGCACAATGGGGTGAGTCCTTTGCAATAATCAACATTTGAAACATCTCCAGTCCCCCATTTAATCTCTATTTTTTTTCTTAAATCTTTTTTGGCCCTAAGGTGTAAATTAAATGGTTTGGGTAGAATTAAGGGTTAATGTAAGATAAACCCTAAACATAAACAATATCCTAAATTCACACCTATGTCAAAACTCAAAATTTCCAACCCTAATCTAGCTAAATTTCTATTTAACCCTTGCATTGCATAGGTTTATCCTAATTAAAGGTGAAAATCGGGTCGTGCCAAGCATAGCATGATTGTATGGGTTGTGTGTTGTGTTGAGTTTGGGGTTTCAAGTTCACATGTTGTGCCACCCGCGGCTAGTGTGTTGGCATAGCCCATATATTTATATATTATATATTTATGTATATAATATATAATATATATAACATATTATATAAATTATAGTTTTATAATAATATATAGTATATAATATATTATTAAAATAAACAATTGTTTTCAATTTTATTATACTATATTTAATT